TTTCGTTCTTTCTTTCTTGCTTTCCTTTCTGTTCTTTTCTTATCTTTGCTTTCCTTTCTCTTTTATGATCATTTCCAATGCACTCTGTGCTAAGTTCACACAAAGCCAAACATCTTCAACCCTCGGCGTGCCACAGAAGGCCGGTGGCATAAGCATCCTTTCCTCTCTCTCTCTCTCGCTCTCTTGCCACACAAGCCGTGTCAGTGAACCCTGAGGACCAGTTCACATGAAGTGAACAAGCACCCATCGCATGGTCTCATGGCCTCCTGATCCCTTATGAAGTCGATCGGGGTGATGGCACTGGCACTCCCAATTCTCCTGAAATTCCTGAGCTCAATGGACTCAAGCCAATGCCCTGACAGTTGATGTTGATGACCTTGCTATTTTTCAAGAGAACAAAGGCTCGGTTATATTATATATATACTGTGGGTCGTAGAGTTTACAGCTCCCACCCCTAGGCCCTAGGGAGAACGTCTAAGATCACCATCTACAGCCTTGCCAAACATCGCGAACATCTCAGCCAAGCTTCGGAAAGAGACCCGGCACAACAAAGGAGATCGCTTCTTGATTGTCCTCAGAGAACCAGATGGATGGACCGATGGATCACAAATACAGCAACTTTTTGTGATATCATGGACCCAAGGCGTATTCTAGATCTACCAACTGGTCTGTCAAGTTTGTATGAGTTTGTCCTAATGTGGTCGTGTGGCGGTTTAAGGTTGGAATGGATCCTTCCTCTGACTTTTGCCCTTGGGTCCCCAAGAGGGTGACAAAAGGTCGCACTGACCCTCGAGGTCGGTCGGTCGCTTTGGGCGTCGGTTGGCCCGAAGGGCGCCTCGGAACTGAAGCGGTCCGGTCCTGAAGCGGTCCAACAGGGTTTGATGGCCTCATCCTTGCATGTCCGACATGTCGGGACCTGCACCTTCGTTGTCATGGCCAGCACACTGATCATCAAACTGCGAGTCAGGGTGTCTGCATAACCTGAGGGTTTCCAAGAAGCATCCACCAAACTTGATGAACTGACACCTGCGGAAGTAGAGCAGCCAAATGCAGTCAGCACCCAATCATGTTCACCTATCTTGCTCCATCGAGCATCCATAAGCATCCTAGAACACCAAGGTAGGAGCGACCTACTTAGACCAAGGGATCACAAGCAAGCGGACGAAGTGACCAGGGCAGGACCAAAGCGAGGGGATCATGGAACCAAACAACCTTTATATGTTGTTCTAAAAAATATCCATTCAAATAATTCATTGTATCAAATTCTGGTTGATTTTGAATTCCTATCCTGAGTTGGCTGGTCTGATTTGGCACCCGATTCCTCCATATGCCAGTACATATAGTAGCACTGCTGGAGAAACCTGCTAGCTGCCGAATTGCTACGACATCAAGGCAATGCAAAATTACTAGCTATTACAAGCCCCCTGGCCCCCTGAAAAACCTGTCTCCTCATAAACAGGGTCGCTTTTCATGCATGTGCATCGCCAGGGAATCCCACATCTTGTCAGCCATCGCGCACTCCCAAACTGTCACTGGCCCACCCCTCCAAGCTTCAGGATGACTGAACATGGAGTACAAGATCTTTCGCGTGTCGTTGCCAACGGCCACCTCCTCTGGCGAGCGCGGCGCTCGCACATCGATGGGAGTGGCAAGCTGGGAAGTATTTGTGGGCTGGGATCAACTAGACCTTCTGCCGGCTTCTGACCAAAAACACAGCCTTTGGACTACTTGACTCCGGTGTCCTTCAAGCTGCCACTGTGCAACACACAGCATACAGCCCTAACTATGAAGACATTCCGGGCCGGTGGTCGGCACGCCAGTCTTTGTGCCCCACTTCCTGAAAGGTCTCCACCGGCAAGCTTGCATTGGGTTGGAAGTGCAGGCTGAGTCTGAACTTCACTGACCTGGGCACGACAAAGGTAAGCTTGTAAGCCTTAGAACGTTTGATCATGGTTGCATGCTCTGCTTGTCACTGCTTCGCCCTGAACGAAATTGGATTGCCAACATCATGTCTCTTGCCTTCGGGCGGCACTTCCGGATGCCTCTCGGGGTCGATAAACTTGGCCATCATCTGTTGCAAAGCTGTCGAGCTTTCCCAGAACTCGTCGGACGCCAGGGGAAATCGGATGTATTGCAAAGAGATGGGAATCCTCGGATGGCATGGCGATTCCCCTCACAAGGGCGGTGTGGAGCAAGAGGTCTATTCTTCCCAACAATTATATATCAGCTAATAGCAAATCATATTGTATGCTGCATAGTGCATAGTGTATGTAGGTGCATCATGTATGTGTATACATCTACTAGCACGTAGACTCTGACTTCGAGAAGGTTTCCCAGACTCCCAGAACCAAGAACAGCAAGTGAAAAATCAAGGATCTCATGCTCCACTAATCTTTTCTGGAACCTCTGTGCAGCAGCTTCATCTGAGGTTTTGATGTACTCCTGGCAGTGACTTCGCTCTGGTGCCCGCCAGCTATCCATTGACTTCACTCTGTGGGTGCCCCCCATGAATTCCAAACCGCGAAATGCCTCAACTTGTGGAACCTGTACGCTGACCGTAGGTCAAAACTAAACCTCCGAAAAACTCCGAGCTAGTCCTATCAAGTTTTTGAGGGTGTGGTGTGGATCTCTTGCAAATCCTTGGCTTGAAGTGGCTTCAAACCCACACCAAGCGTGACAAGTCCTGGTAGGCGGTGTAGAGGTTCAAAGTCCGATGTCCATAGTTTGCCTCGACGCGCAAATCCACCGACATACTGGCCGTGGTCACCACACCTGGCGTGAGCCTGAGGATAGCAACCAACGCGATCCAAGCTGAACATCGAATCTGAACCTTTGCAGCTTGACGCCCTGGAACCCTGGCTCTCTTCTGGAAAGCAAGTATGTCGACAAAAGCGAACTTTCCTGCACCTACCCAGTAGCCGCAGCTTATGATCTTTGCAGGCAAAAGAGGGTCGGTAGGTCTGTGAAACATCTTCAAAGCATGCCAAACACCAGTAAGATCCTCAGGAGACCGAGAAAAGCATGCATTTAAGAGAGGTCGATCCCTTCCAGGGCCACTTCCAAGTCCATGCTGGCGGTGTGGCAGCTGGGACTCGCTTCGGAACAAGCGCATGCGAGCAGCATGAAGGTGTTCAAGGCGGAAAAGAAAATGATAGGTCCAACAAGCAAGGCCATTAAGAGAACCAGCAGTGCCACACCCATGTAGAACTTTTCGAACCTTAATGCGGCAAGGCTTTCTTGACGCTGCTGCTTGGTCTGATGAGGAATACACACGGCAAGATCAAGCCAGGATACAAGGGCCTGGCTGACGCTGGGTCTGTCATAGCTCTGCCTGGCTACTCAACGTTTCGAAGCCAAACACAAAAAGTACCTGCTTTCACTTAGTCTAAGCGGCCTTCCATGTCCAGGCGTGTCCGATAGAGGCTATGGTGTGCATCTTCCAGCTTCATCCACATAAACAAGTTCATGCATGTCTCGGTGACCGTCCAGTCAGTAATCACCCGCAGCTCGTTCAGGAAGGGTATGGCGCTGTAGACCTGGTCACAGTGTCCTCCCGATATGACCCAAAAGCTGAGGATGGATTGCATGAGGGGACGAAAACCGGCTAACCAGTGAGCCAAGGAAAGCAATTTTGCCCAGCAGCACCTTGAAAATCAGCATCCTGCCAATGTCGGTGCTGTGGCAGAAGCGTAGGCCTCCCCTCATGACGTGGACATCATACTTGAGCTGCAAAGAGCTCAAGGCCAGGTATGTGAGGTAGAGGATGTAGAAGAGCGAGAGGGTCGAAAAGGATATCAATGACACCTCCGATTGCCTCAGTTTGAGAGAAATCAAAGTACCCTGCCGCTCACCTTCACGAAGTGTTCGACCCATGGCCGAACGCAACAACTGTGAACCACCTGGTTCACAGGTCATAGACACTCCAAAAACGAACATCGCTACAGATCGAGAAACGTACATCGAACCCCTCCCTCAGGCGGGGCCGTGGGGAGCACCCACTGGAACGGTACCTTGAGGCACTCTCTTGTTTTCAGGCCGATGCAGCCATCAAGCTGCAGCTGGTAGCTGCAGCAGTTCCACCAGCACCACATAATGCTTCATGATTCATGATGGGCTGCTACCAAGTTCTAACAGCAGAAGTTCATGCACCTCTTGAGGGACATTCTGCTGATCCATGCAGTATTTCCCTGAATCCAAAACCCTCACCCTCTCATGGCTTCCGTGCAACCTCACGCCAAAGAGTCAGTTGCCTAAGTCAGAACTCTTCGATCTATGACCACCTGGACCTTGAATCGCAAGGTGGTGCACCCAGGATCACCCAGGAACGATCTGACTGCCTGGAACGGCCGCGCCGAGGTGCACTTTCCTCTTTGGGACCAGCTTCCGGCTCCATTGTTGGATGAAAAGTGCATGGATGGAAACCACATGCACCAGCACGAGGATCTTCTGAACCACTCGCGCCATCAGGCCCTGAGCAGCCATAGACGGATTCCCAAGCCGATTGCAACAACCCAGATTGAAAGCAGAATTTGTTTAGTGTAGACATGTGTAGACCGACCATGCTTTCAACCACTGCTGACCCAGCATGGTGCCAGCGACAACTAAACAAATTCTGCCAGCGACTACTAAATTCATAGACCGACCATGGTGCCAGCGATTGAACCACTGCTTCAACAAAGCTTCAGGCCACGCCCTCGCATTCTCTGCCCATCAGGCCTTCCAGGTGTATGTGGTCTTGGAAGGTTGTCCATCATCCGCATGGCCCGCATGGTCTCCACGGTACCAGGTGTACAAGGCTCGGTCCATCACAATCATAAGCATGAAAAGCACCTCACATCCAGAAGCCACCAGGTCATGTTCCCCTTCAACAAAAACTAAGGGCTTTCAGCCAGTGGTTCAGCCAGCTCGGTTTTTGGGGTAGCCAGTGCCGAGTGATGGGAGGTGCCGAGTGATGCTCCAGGGTATGAGTATAGCATGCCCATTTAAGGTACACCCCATGCCGAGCGGCCAGGACTCGCACCTGATTGGTGCTGAAGTTGTTGGTCTTCAAAGCCTTGGAGAAGCTCCGGCCGCTGTCCACCATGGTGCTCCAGCCAAAGACCAAGATGGCAAGACCTGGAGTCCAGGACCACCAGCATCTGGACTAGCCGGTCATGTGTCATGGGGTGACACAAATGGAAAACCCTGAAGACGCTTTCTTGGAAACTTGAATCCTCAACAAGAGTTGAAGTCATCAACATGTCCAGGATTTCTACCCTCTCATTGGTCCCATGGGCAAATCAAGGCGATGCAAAGCCGGATCTCATAGAGGTCCATGGCCGGCTTCCGGACATAGGCGGGGAGGACGACATACTCTTTCCTGCGTGTGGAAGGTGCTTCAGCAGGAGAGGAAGTCCAATACATATGAACTAAATAGGGGAGACACAGTCCATGCGAATGAGACATCCAAATACTAAAGTATCTATTTCAGTGTCTGAGACTAATGCAAATTGCAAGTCCAGCTCTCACTTGCTCCAGTGCATCTCAGCGGCAGCCACCGCCGACCCCTCTCCAACCACTTCTGTGCTTCTGACCGCGCCCTGGCCCTGCGGCGCCGGTCCTGACTGAAAAAAAAGGAACGCGTCGACGCGTGTCAGTTGTCTATAGGAAACATCACCACCAGAAGCTGGTTCTGGTATCGTCGCCCTCCCTCACAGGCAACCATCACAGCTGACCAGGCCTCTTTTGTAGAGGAGGATTGTGTTCTCTAATTGGCAGGCTGAAGTTCACTGAGGCCCCAACTACCCTGGCTGGCTCTTCTTGCGGAACCGGCTGAGAACCTGCAACATTGATGCGACTGCCTGCCCCCAAACAAGGGAACCCCAAAATGCCCTTTACAAAGAAACTCTCCAGACATAATTACGGAGAATGGTGTCCATCCAATTCTTCACCTCGATGCCAAAGCCCAGTGGAAGCTCTGTGTCGCCTGTGGGGGGAGCTTCTTGGTCCTCCTCCTCCTTGTCGCTGTCGGAGTCGGAGGCTGCTTCCCTGTCTGCTTCTTTGCCAAGGGCTGCTTTCAGCATTTCGCGGTTGAGATAGGTACTCATCCTGAAGAGCTCCGGCTCTCAACAAACGTTCCCCGAATCCCCAAACCAAAGAGATACCCCGTACACACCGGTGGCCTGAAAAGGATGCCTCACACACATGGGAAGCTTTTTCGGTCGTTTGACTTACTGAAGCTACCTCCTCAAAACACTCAAGACTTCTTCAAAACCACTCTGCCTCCTGTTCTTCTTCTCAAGAACCTTCAAACTGTTCAAGATCTGGGCCGTACTTCCGAAGCGACCACCCAGTCGTGCGGCGCACATCACCTTGGAGCGATGATCGAACAGTTCGAGCAGGTTGTTTTGACCTGGACCTGTTGCGAACCCCCAAGCAAAGTGGCCACTCGGTGATGAAAAGATCAGTTCCTTTTGATGGTCCTCGCTTTTCGGAAGTTGCACCGGTTCTGTCTGCATGTGCAACGACAAATGAAGGAAAGTTTCAGGGGCCCATTCCTATTGTTCGGCTACATGCATAATGTGTTCCATTCGTTCCATTAACATGTGTATACATATGCTATATGGTAGATCATCGGCATTTGCAATGCAATCGTTGGTCCCGTTGATCGTGAAGTCGAATCACTTGATGGGAATTTGCACCTTGATCCTCATGATAGCGGGTAAGGAATGCATAAAGACGACTGAACAAATCGAGAGGATTCAAACAAACATATCCACAAATTGAGCAAATGGCACACGCAAACCTTCTGCTCGTCCATTTTTGGACCAGACGCCAGCAGCAAGACCACTGCGAAGACCACGTCTGCCCAAAGAATCTCGCCCAGCGTAGGGCGTGCCAAAGAGCAAGGGTCGCTGGCATTCTCTTGGGTCTTCACCTGGGGGACTGGGCAGTTAGTAACAGTGATTGGAAAGTCAAAGTCCAGGGCCCCCGGGAGTTCAGAAAGATGGGAACTTGCTTTCTTGACGCCTTGTGAGCATCTTTCTTGAGACTATCTTGGGGAGCAGTACGGCTCCTCGCGTGACCCAATTATATAAAGAGGTAACGATCAAAGCCTGAGTCGTGGCTTTGAGTCGTACAGGTCAAAACGGATTGATCTGCTTTGCACTGCGGTCGAAAAAAGTCTCCGTGGTCGATCTATAGGATTCTGGGTTTCCACGAGCCATGTTTTTCAGTGAACTCTCATGACATCGGCCGATCCTCCTTCAGAGGCGTCTGGCAGAGCAACAAGGGAGAAGCCGAGGGCAGCGGTCATGGCCAAGTGGCTAAGCCCAAGAGAGCAGTGAAGGGCATCTCTTCGTCGCATAAGCTCTGGCAGGGGAGGTACTGTAGATGCCCGTCCTCGCAGAAGATTGGCAGCCTGGATGCAAAAGCTTTGGGTTGGAGAATGTTGGAGAAAGTGAGGGTTGGTATGATCGACTCTTCCCTTCACCTCTAATATCCGGTTGTTAGGTAGCTCAGGGGGCTGGCGTCCCGATAAAGACCCCATGGATTTTATCCACCCAGTACAGCCAAGCCGGCATTTTGTTGAGCTCAGGAGCTGGAAGGCCACCTTCGCGAAGATGACCTCGGCACCGACCACTCCAACGGGCTGGAGAATCAAAGCGAACGACGCTCATCCAAGCAGCAGCCAAGTTCAACCACTGCAGGGCAACCCACACCTGCCACGGTTCCATCTCGAAGCAATCAAAGTTCATGAAATGACAACTTTTCAGCCAGACGAGTGAAAAAGCAAACATTTTGCACAAAAAACAGCAACCTGCAAAGCACAATGATTGACAATAGCCCTTTCCCTACAAACGGCATTGTTCGGAGGGGCTTTGGGTAGGGAATATATGGGAATATATCTACATCTACATATTATATACAGTTAATGATAGCCCCTGGATTCTCAATTACAATGTTCCAATCTGCGGCTCACTGCCCCAGTCTTGTCCCGCTCGCGCCGTCCAGGGGACGTGCGGGAAGGCCATCAAGGCCATGACAACCACGGAGATGCTGATGGCCGAAGTCAAGGATCGGAGAGACATGAACTGCAGGGCACCTGCCGGTGATGCGGTCTGTGGGGTCGAAGACGATGTGTGGCGCGCGGTGGCATTGTGACCGGAGATGGTGCGAAACAAAACCCCCAACATGAAACAGTTGCGTGATCGGTGCCGGGAATCATCACAGGACGCGCCTGCGACAACTAATGCCAGCACAGATTGGCTCAGCAAGGCTTTGCAAAGCAAGAGTCTTGGGGAATTTCCCTTGCGGTGCTCATACAAGGTCTCATCCTTCTCCTGCCACGCTCAGGAACGAGGCCCCTTTCTGCTTGACTCACAGAATCTCACAAATACTGGTAGCTACATGTAGCTACCGCTTGTCTACTGTCTTGTCTACATAACCATTGCAACAACAGTCTGGATACGAAGGAGAAACCAATGACCGCAAGAGTCTTCGACCATCTCGCTGCAACAGCCCCAACCAGCGGTCCCGGATGAAGAGCATATCCTCATGCGTGACAAGGGAGCGGCTTCTCATCCATGCATGCCATGCTGACCGAACCCTGCCCAATTGGAACTGTGGGCAGTGTATGAATCTCCCAATTCACCGAAATCCTTTCCCAGCAGGCTAACCCGCTAACCCGGTGGCCATGCCACCCTGCAAAAGAACTGGCCATGCCACCCCATGGCCAAACCGCTGCCCAAACAAGGTGACCACAGCCGTGCAGCCAGGATTCATCCACAAAGGTCCCACAAAGCTCCACCCACCACATGCCCATCAGGGGCTTGGGCTCATCGACCGCCGCCTGGAGCGGTCGCCGCTGGTGCTGATAGCATTTGCACGGTCAAAAGGAGAACTGGGTTGCAAAACCAGCCAATTATATAGACTAGGCCAGTAGGTCAAATTTAGCCAATGCGCCAATGACTCATGTTCACCAGAAGTCTTTGTTGGTTGCTCCCTCACGTTGAAGCAAATCCATGATGAGGAGGGAGAATGCAAAGAAAACATGCCCCCAAGCAACTGGTCTTTGAACATCGCGATTGGGGAGAGAAGTACTGAGATCCAAGCAGCTGCAAAGGAGCTCAAGAAAATTCAAGCCAAAACTGACAATAACAACACAACAACCAGGCTGGAACATAAACCTCCGCCCTGGTTTCTTTGTTGCCCAGGAAATGCAGGAGGACTCACCAGTCGATCTCGTGTTTGCACCCAGCCTCTGATGAAAAGGATGCCCTCACCGTCTGTGCCCTCACAACTACGGGGGGCTCATGGATGTCTCAGGGCATGGCTGGAGGCCATCGCCGATCTGAGGTTGGAGGCCATTGCTCTTAGGTCTTAGGCTGGAGGCCATCGCTAGTAGGTTGGAGGGAACCTGCCGATGCTCGGTCGAGAAAACCGATTCTCTTCAAAGCTAGCTAGCCTTCACGAGTGACTGCTGGCGAAGACGGCCCGATAGCGAGTCTCAGGACGATGGCCCAGCACCAAAGCTGCAAGCAGCCTTCGAGACTTCTAGAATATAGACTCTATAGACATCTGTACTCTTCAACCATCTTATAACACCCAAACACTCATACCTTACCAACCCGTGGTTTTGCTGATCCGTTTCAACGTCTGAGTTCCTGGCTGAGAGGTTTCTTCGCTCTTCCTGGATCTGAAAGAGCTGCTAGGCTCCACCGGAGCTTCTTCCAGCTCCACAGCGTCATTCTCCTGGGCGCAGCCGGCGCAGTGCCCAACGACTGGAGCAACGAAACAGCTTGAGCCCAACTCTTTGGATCCGAGTGGCTTCACCTTTGACGTCCTTCCAAATGCCTTCCACCTCATTCTGGCATTCCTGGATCAGGTGCTTCTTTGAAGCTGCTTCATCTGCAGATGTAATCATCTTCAGCTTTCTCAGATACCTTCGATGAGGGTCGAGGGCAGTCGAAGCTCACTGAGCATTGATGGCGGCAGAAGCCGAAGTCGCGGACTTGACTTGCTTTGGCACACATGATTGCATTCATGAAATCAAATAGCAGCAGACCCCAAGCTGCGCCTTCTGTGCAAGTAATCGACCACACCCTTGTCGATGATCGCTTGTGCCTGCAACCTGCAACACCACATGTAGGCTTGGGCCCGACTTCATTCTAGTCTCCCTCAGCTCCTCTACCCCCAGGCGGGCGTGACTTTGGTTTTGGAGCCAACTCCCTCGCCTTTGCTGGCTAGGCAGGTTGAGCAATTGGTCTGCGTAGTTCTTCGTGAACTCTTTGAGAAGCCCAGAGACCTTGAGATTGCCGTGGTCCCGCACACTGCCAAGGCGTGAAAGGCTCAATTGCAGTAGGTGGCAGCTCTGCGGTTACAGAAGTGTAAATAATTGTGATTAATATGTATCATCTGTATTCATATGTATATTAATCTATGTGCCTATATCATAAACATGACACTCACACACACACATATATATAGAGAGAGAGAGAGAAAATAAACAAATATAGATATACAGTAGATATTTAATGTGTTCATATTTCATATGTTATATTTTCGTGTATTCATCTATCGTGTATCATAAGTATCTGTATGCGTGCAGCAGGGCGGTTTGTTGCATCAACAAGTGGTTCGCTCAGTCTCGACGCCAGAGACTCAGGCAGTGACCAAAAGCTCATTGACGCCACCCTGCAAACAAATGTGCTCCACACGTGCTTTCTGGAGGTTCTCCTCCTCCTGGCCAATTCACCGGAAAAAGGGCCAGAAGCAAAACAAATAATACAGTAAATAGATGTAAATAGCATGAAATAAAAACGTGAAATCCTGAGCACTGGAACAATCTACAACAATCCCGCGTCTATGTGAACTTCCCAACTGCTGCCGCTGGTGAAAGAACATGGAGAGAAGAAAGCTTCTACGGTTCTACAAGAATTTCAGGCCTCCTCTTCAGTAAAGGCAGGGCGTTGGCCGTCCCAAATGGAGCGCAAAGTATTCAACTGCTTGGTGACCCGCCCAAGTTTGTTGAGCAATACCTCTCCAGCGACCAGGCATCATCGAATCAGCAATCAGTTGGTGTTCGAATTGCTGGAACGACACCCCTGGCAGAAGGTCAGATCGTTAAGACGTACCATTCCATGACATACTGAAAAAGGTGTTTGGCTAGTGACTGTTCATATCCCATTTTTGGAGTTCTTGAAGTCACTGAACACCCATCTGCCCGCCTGACGCTTCGTGTCCCACATCGAGAGTTGTACCTGCCTGCTGGTGGCCAGTTTTTCGGCATACCACTCGGCGCGGAAGTCCAGCAAGGCCTGGGCTGGAAGCCGCAGATCTTCGGGTGAAGCAAGATGTGCTGGTGATCTGGAGACATGGATGGCCAAAAGCATATCTTCTTCATCCCAATGGTCAGGCGAAGTCCATTTAATGTATCCTTGTGCATCTGTCAATATCTCTACAGTAGTGCACACCAAGAAGAAACTGGAAATAAAACATTGATAAACAGTCATGGAGTCGTACAATTCGCTGAGCTTAAACAGTGGATTGGAGGGTGCTTATACTCATCCCCGACCGATACCCAGTGAAATCGAACCGACCACTGCTGACACCGAAACCACTGCCGTGCCTTGCGGCGCTTGAAGTGTTCTCTGAGATCTTCGTTCCATCTCTCCACCAGGATTCGCTGCACTAAGCAGCTCACAAAGACCAAGCAATGGACCAACTCCTGCCCGGAAGTTTCATGTGGATGGAAGCACCGCGCGGTTGCCTAGCCGCTATGATGTACACGTTGATGTCAACAAAACTTGCCCTGTGTGGTGGATATAGACGGTTTGGTCTGAAAGCACTGTTATATAAATGACCAATAGAAGATTGGGCAAAGCTGCAGGTGCTTTCTCAACCCCAATTCTAGCACCCAACACTCCACGCACCACAACCGGACTTGAAGGATCTACAGCAACCTTGGTCACAATCGTGAACTCCTCCAACCCACAAAATAACCTGGGCTCGCCCCGGAAGAGTGACCACTCCCCTTGAAAGTGATCCCGAGCAAAAAGGAACGGTCTCAAAACATCAAAACTATCTCTTAGATCTGCCTGATCGAGTGGGGCCGGTCTGAGGGGTCAGGCATCAGTCACTGCGTGCAAGGCTCCTCCAAAGTGCCTGACAAGGCCCCTCCCGTCTTGATCATGCCAACACCTCAGTGGCACACGGCCCAAGGCTCTTGTCGGGAGACCGCCACAGGCATTTGACCGCAAGACCCACCGATCCACAGGCTACACACAGACCGTTGGATCCCACTGGGTCCCCACAGTTGCCTTTCCAAGCGATTGATAGATCATCAAAGCCGCCCATGGGGAGTGGAAGACTCTCCCCCTCAATCCGGAGCGACTCTCAGACCGAGATGCTTTGAAAGAGGGGTCCCAGGGCCCAGGCATCGCTCGCTTCGCCACTCACCGCGTGGCGCGAGGCGTAGAGACACTGCTCCCCACTCAAGAAGCGGCTGATGTGGTCTGGCCCGCCCAGACCTGGCGGGGCCCCGCACCGGCTCTGGGACATGCAGTGTGACTAGCACCTGAGACATCAAGACACTGAATCATGATACACATGATTCTGACGGAACATATTATTGGAACATTGGAACTGCACTCTTGGGCATGGACTTCAAGTTGGTGACATGACATGTCTTTCCACCCAAATCATCCAAGATCGGCCTCGCCTTCAAGCTTCGCAGCATAGGGGCATGGAAAGGATGGGCATTGGCAGACCTGAGTCAAGGGCCAATCCATCGACTGCAGAAACATTGCAGTCGAGCATTGCTACTCGCTACATCTATTCTTTCACCAGTACTCAAGGGGTCAAAAGGGTGAGAGCGTGCCACAACAGCAAGTGGAACAAACATTGCAATTGCCATGCAACACAGATCATATACCAGCATACCATATGCCATATACCAGCTAGCAACTAGCATGCTCAGAAGGAGGGAGGTGCCTCACAAAGATCACGTACGACCGTCAACTGTGGTGCGCCTGCATGTTCATGTCCACCCCACAAAGCTCGCCTGGCGACCTCGCCCAGCCCAGCTGGAACGGCCTAGTTCTCTACCAGAGCTTCACATCGCATGGGACCGGTCCAGGATGGTTACCCTTCGAGGCACCGAGAAGGCCATGATGACCAGGAAGTTGAAGATGCCCACCGCCCGGGCGGGCCACAGAACGGCACGCACCGGGTCATGGTAGAGAGTGGCGTTGGTGACTGAGCTGCTAGTGGCCAGGGCCATCCAAAGGTACCTCAAATGGAAGCAACTCTTCAGAAGCAATACTTGCAAGGATAGCTGGTACCCCAAACCGCTACAAGGTGCCCAAAGGAAGAATATATCGCATTTTCATTACCAAGGAACCCCAGTGCTACGAGGTTAAACTGCCTCTGCAGCCCGCAAGCAACAATCACAAAGATCCAGCAAAAAATCCCTGCCAGAGTGATGATGAACAACTTCAGCTCCGACTCTCGTTCCGCCACGGTCGTGCTCCTTAAGGAAGGGACATACTTGGCGGCGGATGGACAACATTGGGGACCACCACCTGCACAAAATGAAGAGCATCAGTATCTTTATGAAACCATCCTCGTGTGGTAGGAGTAAAGTAGTAAAACCTGAAGTCCTGAAGTCGCCACTCTTCGCAATTTGGGGACTGCAGGGAAACATTGGCATATAACATCCTGAAGTTCCCTCAAACTATAGGGCCCTCTGGGGGCCAACAGAGACCACTCCGTCCTTCTTGGGGCCAACGACTCAAAGAAGCGCGTGGACACTGAGGCCATGGTCCGGCGGAACCAGCGGCTGCGCGGTTCCGCGGCGCGGCCACGGTCGGGGCGTCTCTCCCAGTCTGTGCGCAGAATCCAGCAGAGGACGAAGAAGAGGGCGAACTTCGGCACCTCGATGATGGGCGAACTTCGGCACTCAAAGAAGAACAACATGTGGATGACGGGATGGTGAAATCCATGCGGAACCTCTGGATACATATCCCACCATATAACTATCCGGGAAGGTTCTAGAGGCATGCATCTCCACTCCTAGCAGGTTTTCGCAGCACCTGTTGCAACAGCCAATGCTGACCAGTTGCCCGAATGCCACTCTCGAGGCAAAGCCAATAGACTACATCCTGGCCACAGCGCTGGCGTTGTGGCACCCAGCCTGCCTGCAATGGGCAAGCATTCAGATACATTCAGTATGTTCAAGCATTAGTCCTTGGGGCAGTCTTTTGGACAATCTGCAATCCAACCCAAGACCGCCTTCGCATGCATTCCAGGAAATTGAGCCCTTCCATCAACGCTCCGTGCAAGACCTGGGCTCCAGGGGTCATAGTTTCTGCACATATCCCAGAGGCCAATGGCTGCTGGTTGAGGCTTGCCAGGAACACCTCCGCAAGCAAAACAAGAAAAGAGGAACATCAAGAAACCGAAGATCAATCAAGCAACAAAGTCGAAATGAAGATCAATGAAGTGTTTCATCTGCAAACCAGGCTCCTTCCCAGGGTGGCCACCACAGGGCCGTGCAAATCTCGCCCAGCATCCCCACAGCCAAGCTGAAGGCCATCACCTACAGAGTATGGCAGAGGCCACTTACAGCGTCTCGTCCAGTTTACGACGCGATCATAACTGGGGGCCGATCACTGCGTCTGATGTTTATGAAAGCACTGTTCGCCTCTGTAACACACTTGACTGGAGCTCCACCCCAGTAGCGTCCTTGTTAGCAGAAATGCCCTTTGTTACTAGTAGCTTCTTGCTCCTAGCAGTAAGGCCAGGAGCCCCTAGTAGCGTCCTCGCCCCTAGTAGCGATGCCAGGAGCCCCTAGTAGCTTCTTGCTCCGAGCCAGGTGAAAAGAAAGCAAAACTCTTGAAGTTCGTCCCCCACTTGCGCCATGGAGCACGCAGCAACGGTCAGAGTGGCATCTTTTCGACAAGCAATAGAACAACAAACAGTAGGACACATGGGGACATATTCTTGAAATGGAGGAAAGACATGCTGTTATGGTACAAACTGCGGGCACCAAAACTCCGCAAGAGAAAGATTCACCCAACATCCTTCACTTGTTCACCTCAAAGCTCATAGATTCATAGAGATGTCATTGGTATTTTACTTTGTTTCCATTGCTCCACCGGCCTGGATCCAGAATCTTGCCTGATCTGGGATCCGCTTGCCCGTCTCCAGGGGAGGCTTCACCATAGCGCCGCTGGCATAGAAGGCGCCCACCACAGCCAAGGGTGGGAGGCCTGGGCCGTTCGACAACCGGAGCGCTCCTTGCTCCCATTGGGGGTGGCATGTGTGCTCCCGGTCACTGTGTTGCAACACAAACATGCAAAACGCAGAGAGTTGCATCGGTGGAACATGATGGAACGCCGAACGCTGTGAGGAGGGCCTCCTCTCGGTCTCTAGTCTTTGAGACCTCGGCCCTCGTCACAACTTCACACCGCTTCACTTAGTTGAAGCTTCACCTCTGCCCTATCTGTGCCCAGTGACACCACGCGGTCTCTTCCACGGCGTTGATCGCCACGATGCACACCGCCGCCATCTGCGGCACCGCCAACAGAAGCCGCCGCACCTCCGTCACGGGGTCGGACCTGCGGGACCCGTCGCGGAGACTCGGACCGCGGCCGAAAGCGCGGAGTAGCTCCTGGCATCGCTACTAGTAACACGAGCATCGCTACGAACGGAGCAAGAAGCTACAGGGGAAGTATATACATACCATGCCAACCTTGTAGGGGCACATGAATTCTGATATGGGGGCTCGGGTAAGTTTCATCTCGGTTCATGATTGAATGACAAAAACATCGGCTCCCACTCCTGAGTGCTATCCGCCATGCTGCTGGCATCTCGCTACCTGAATATTCAACCCAGCTGACAAACAGCAAGCTCGTCAGGTCTCTACTGGAACATAATCTACAACATTCTACAACTGTGATCTACTGTTATAATATGTTATAATTGTAGATTGGAATGATTGACGTGCATTGCCTGAACTGGATCTAACACACCTTTGAAGAAAACTGTATATACAAGCTCGAACACACCAAAATGAAAAAAATAAGCATTCATTCCAGCAACTACTTGTGCCAGGATTCTCTCTTCCAGCGGGGGTGTTGAAGGAATTGACATTGACACCCCCGCGGACAAAACACGACCACCTTTGGTGGTTGCATGTTGATGCCAAGCTTCCTGATCTCTGGGAACCTGGACATAGAGCTTACTGCTTTCAAAAGAACAACAACTAGATCAATTATACATGCTATAGCGTTGGAATCCCAAAAAAAAAACTCCATGGAATGATATTACATCATTTTATATATATATATATAATTTCTCTTAATGCTCGTCTTCACGGATGTCACATGTCTGCCTCCTAGGACGACCATCTCCTGCTCCATGGGCGCAGGAACTGGCGCCGGAGCCTCCACCATCTCTTCTAACCTCGGGCGACTCCAAAGAAGACAGCTGGGCCCCAAGCCGCCCCAAGCCCAGTCATGGGCGGCGCATGCCCAGCTCACCTGACCATGTTTCTGAAGCAAAACTCTGCGTCGTCCATTCTCCATTTGGTCGCGGCGAGCTGCTTTGCGAAGATGAGGATCAAGAGCTGTCGACACACCTTGGAGGCTGCAGTGTGTAAAACCCATCTGAACCTCTCACCCTCTGCTCGCATCAAGCGGGTGGCTCGTGGCGAATCCTGTTCAAGCGGTTCATCTTCGTGGATGACCCCCCCATTGAGTCATTGAGAATGCATCTCCTACATTTAGGCAGGCCACAAGCGCCACATTGGGAGCCATGCCAAAGTATCTCATTAGCTCCTTGCGAAGGAGCTGAGCATGAGTACTGGGCAGCGGTTCTGTAGAAACTGAGGAGTGACTTTCGTTCGCCATAGGGCCGTAGGAAATAATCGCAACTTTTCTTGGATCGGCCAGTTCCCTCTTCAGCCAAAAAAGACAGGGTCATCTATCTAAGGCACTCAGCACGCCCCTGCTAGGAGAGTATAATACCCTGACCAACATGACCTTCCAAAGGGTCATGGTGTAGGAAGGCCATGTCTCAAAGCTCCAGTGAGCACTTCACCAGCAATAATGGGATGCACCACGCACGCTGCAGTGGCCGCAGCAGGCCACTGCGGTGGCCGCACTCGCAGACTTGGTGGAAAAGCACCCCGAACCAGGCCTTATTGAAGCGAAGCACCGTGAAGCCCAGCACTTGCCCCATCAGGGCCACACCTCAGTTGACGAGGACTGGACTTATCCATGTGTAGACATATGGTGAGGTATATGGATGTAATGACACACACACACACATCCGCATCATGTTGTACTGCTACTGAGGGCATGCGGCATCCAACATCAAAATCAGAAATTGCATGACATTATATGATGGCCTGACATAGTTTTGGGTCATGCGGTCATGCAACCGGCACTGGCTGTGAAGAATTTGCTGGTGTATTTGGCCAAGCGCTTTGGCACAGCCAGCAGCACCAAGCACAGTATGAGCTGGACGCTCGTCAGAAAGTCCTTTGGACACGGATACACCTTGGCAAGGCACATGGGAAACCTGTGGCATGCAAGCAAGCACAAGCGATAACAATGACAACAACAACACACAAATTTACAAATCCACAAACGGTCCATTCACACAAATCCAAGAGTCCAAGTCTCGCACAAACCAAGCTCCATCTAGTTACCCACTTAGGGCTCCATGGGCCCGCCATGCTCCGCACAACCGAACGACTCGAAGACAAGGGATCTGTCCAATCTTCCCAGGTGTTTGCTTCTAAAACCTTAATCCCCAAAACCAACGCCAAAGGGTACCTATGCGAATCGCAAAAACGAACATGACTGATCCATCATCCCCAGATCATTCTCCAGGCAGCCAAAAGGAAGATCGAAAGGACCAGAACCTCTGCAGAGCGACAATGCAGAAAGCCCATGACCTGGGCGTTGTGACTGTCGAAGCGTTTGGCGGGGGGTGCTGCAGGATCGGGAGGGGGTCAATAGAAACCCTCAAAGGAATGTATTCAACAGGGGCTGCCACAGGGTGCCATAGAGTGTTAGAAATACCCCTGGTGCCATAGGGCCAAAGGGGTTCTCGTGAAGGTGATTCAGAACGTATCCACAGCGTCTTGTGGTTTTATGACATACTGTATGTCGCAATGGCGAGGAGAAAAGTGGCCTGTCAAATGTTGATGGTATGTGAAGGTGAGGTTGCACCAACATGAAACTCGCTCCGGGCACTTTGCTGATCCAGCAAGCTATATATATATATATAGTTGAGTCACAAGTCACAAGTCACATCTGGAACTGAAACGCATGGTGAAAGAAAAAAACCGTCTGATTGTCAAGCAAGAGCCTCAAACAACCGGAGCCCTAAAACCTGTCTGCCCCCCACCTCATCCCGGCTCGGCATGAGTTCCATCATCTCCCGGGCCCAAGCGGGCAATGTGGTCAGCGCCGCCGGCGCCAGATCCACCACAGTGAAGTGAGAGGGGAAGGCCATGGCCACCAACGCTCTCTAAGGGACGTGCTCCTGGTCCTCAAGGTTTAATCTTCCGTGGTCCAAAGAAGCGTTGAGCAGTTCAGCTGAGGCTCCCTAGAGTTCCTTTTGCTGAGGCCAGCCGTTTAGCGGGCCTTTACAACGCGGATGTGGCACTGGTTTGTGAGTGTCCTGCATTCTTGAAGTCCAAACAGTGAGGCAAGTAGAAAAATGTAGAAAGTGGGGATGGGTAGGGCGTGTCCTTTTGCCATCAGTTGCACCTTTCTGCTAAGATGAGTGATTCGAGAGTCTAGCGCTGATCAGTCAACGTGCCAGCACTTTGGACACGGAGACTTTCGCACAACGGTGGCAAATATCATCTGACTTACAGTATATAAGCGCCTCGTCTTTACCTGGACCTCTTGGAAACCCTTTTTCACCAGGAGACCCTGTGACCTCCTTTTCACCATTTTGCACCGATCTTTGCCCCACCGAATTGTGGATCTTTTCTTCCCGGTCACCGAACGGCAACGTCCAACGTCACGTCCTCACCCGAGGTCCCGCCTCGGCCCTGGCACCACCCGCCACGAACCACGGGAGCCTAAAGCCGTGGTTCGAAGGGTGCGGGGTTTAAGATGGATGTTTGAGGATACAGCAGCTTTCCGGGCATGATGCCTATGGCTTTATGCCACCAATTGGCAAAGAATACCCACTGACTTTCAACATTCGCGCTTGGGTTGGAAGGCTTTCAGTTGCATTTTGATCTTTGCGTTTCCCGATTGGATGCCAAAGCAGTGTCTTAGTTTGTGATACCTCAAACTTCTTTGGTGCGCTTGTTATTGAGATCTCTTGAGCCTTGTTCCATGTTCGTGCCACCCAACCCGGGTGTGAACTGCATGCTCCAACAAAAGCTGAAAGCTTGGTGTCTGGCAGTTTCTTGGAGTCCGCTAAAGAGTTTGGGAGATTGTGGGTGACCCTTAGACACATCACGCTGGTTTGTTTTACACTTGGCCTTCATTTGGACTGCGGTGTAGGATGCAGAATGGGCCCCCCAAGACCAGCTACAATTTACGAAGGAACCATCTTTCGCGCTCGTGGGTGGGAGGGCGAATCATTTGAGGCTGGAGGTTGAGATTGGCGGGCCATTCTCGGCTGCATTGGGCGGACAGTTGCAGGTGTCCCACCTGTGCAGATGTGCCGGGATACGTTGAACACCTATAGACAAAGGGATCTCCGACCAGTGTGCACTCATCTGCTTTCCAAGCGATTCGGTTTCGGAAGGCCATTCTGAAACAAACCAAACTGTCTTGCTAGGCCCCCCGGCTCTTCAAGCAGGGTTAGCTTGGCCTTAGGCTCCGCCCAACTGGGTTTCGGCCGTTGTAGATCTTTGTAGAATGTAGAGGGGCAGGCCGCAGCGGGTTGGCATGATACACGCCAAATCGTGAATCCTCTATGCAGTTCACCGTTTAAGGCTTCTGGAATGCCAACCCAGCCACAGGGTAAGAATCACCCACCAAGCCTCCATTCATGTCCATTCCCATTTGGTCCAGGTTGCAGCCAGAAGCTGCAGCTCGATGCGCACGAAAGCCAAGCTCACTTCTGGAAGCAGCCTAAGTCAATTCGAGGTGCTGGGTTTCAAAGTCCCTTCACCTTCAGTGCAAACAATTCCGGACATGTTGGTGGGCAAAAAACAGGAAAAAACCTGCTGCAGCGGAGTAAGTCCTCTAAGAAGAGCATGAATCATGGTATGTCGACTGGTGGTGTTTTGGTCAAACCACCAGTGGGAATCTCGGTCGAACTTCGACTTCGACCCTCGGAAGCTTCACTTGTCACCCATGGCCGTGGTCTGGTTGGTTCATGTTGGTTCACTGACACCATCACATCCCGCTTGAGTCATTCATGGATTTGCGAAAACTCGATGTTATTCGCTCTTTTCTCAGCCTGGGCTTCCATGCGAGCTCTTGTCAAATTCGAGAACGGGCATCGGACCATCTCTGATCACTAGCTTCAGGACCGACACCAAAAAGAGAGTATATAAGCACAAAGACAGGCAGCACTGTTGAGTGTAGAGTTTCGGAAGCATTCATATACAGTAAATGTGGATGTCCTGGTTTCACTCTATAGACCACGCATGGCCTGTCAACGCCTCCCGACTTCCAAACTCGCCCCCACATCGTCTCGCGGGCTTGCGAGACCCAACATGTGCGCCCCCACCAAATTCTTCGAGACGGTTGCGTTTGTTGCATCTTGGGGTGCCCGCCTGTGAGTTGTAAGAGACAAAGCCTTGCTGTTGAGGTATGAGTCCTCTGTCTAGCGTCTGTCAGCACTCAATGACTGGCAACGCAAAACCCAATGAACCACTTGCACCGTCTGGAACAAACAGCATGCTGCAGAAAAAGATTGCAAGCAGGAACCCCATTCGGGGATGACCTGGGCAATTGGTAATTACACAATCACATGATGTCACATGATTTGGATATCATGACAGGCATCCTGAATACTCAGAACCTGACCTGCGAAAACAAAGAAACAATTGCAAACGAAAGCAAGGTACTCATGAAGGACACTACAGCAGGCCTTGCTACCTTCTTGTGGGGTTGGTGCACATGGGACACACTCATTTATACTAACAGTGTTCTTTTCTTTTGTAAGCTGTTCAGAGGATACGGCAAATGCAAGAAAAGGGGCAGTCTTGGGGGCTTAAAACGCTCCCAACCCAGAAAGAAGAGGTCCACGATGCTACCTAGTGCTTTTGCTACAAGTCTTGAGGCCTTAAACCGAACCAACCAGCCTGGAAACCAAATCTTGAATCTTGAGCTCCAACCAATAGAAGGCCTTGCTTTCGACCGGATTTTTGTTCTTCCCGGCCCATGGCCTGCGCCATGGCTGTGAATTAGATGAATTATATAAGGACCTCCGTTCAGAAGAGGGATTGTCTCACTCCTCTTCAAACATGCTGGGGCCAATAGTGGTCGGCACACTGGATGTAGTCAAGCGCCCATTCTCTTCACTCATGCTGCCGCCGCTGCCGTGGTTGCGGCTAGGACGATGTGCCTCACATCCCACGATCTACGCAACAGGTTCTCGACGATCGATCAAAATCGAAATCCTTGCGAAGGGCAGATGAATTGACTATCATTCTTCCATGGTCTAAGATGTTCTGAGCTTGTCTCATCTTCGAATCCTGCAAACTCGTCTCTCCAGCCTTGCCCTTACTCTTGATGACCTTCATCAGTTTCTTTTCCAAGGAGGCCAGCTTGTCCACTTCCTCCTGCAGAACGTGGGCTACAGCTCTTACCATCCACCCCTCAGTCCGGACGCTGCAAATACAGATGTGGTTCATCAAAGGATGAGGGGGGGAGCAATTAAGTAGACAAGAAGAAAACAGGAGGCGTCCTTGAAAATTCAACCCACCCCCCCACAAGAACGCCTTTCGCTCGAGCCGCCGCTCTAGCCGAACCTCCGGGATGTGTTCTTTGGGCCAGGGTGCCGATGGAGCACTTGGTCCACCGAAGCGCTTGATGGTGTCCTCGAAGAGGGCACACTCAATGGTTCATGCAACCTCCAGTGTCCATGATGGATTCTCACGCCCACTATGTTGGCCTTGCTGTGATGCCCAAGTTTATATATATATATATGTCTTCCGTCCATGCGTTCCAACACGGTGGGGACCGGCACTCAAAACTCTTCCCTTGTCCTCTGTGACCACTCTCTCACTGGCAAGTTCCAAGACCTCCCAGGGTCAACGACACCCAGCCATGTCCACGTGTCTAAAGGAAATGTGAAATTGGTGATAATTTTGCATTCCTTTGACATGTTCTTTTGTCTTCTACAAGCAGACTGAGGGAGGAGGGAGGAGGAGAGGAGGGAGGAGGAGGCGGAGGAGGAGGCGGGGGGAGGGAGGAGGAAGAAGGAGGAGTTTCTTCTGCAGGCCATGGTTTCTCTTGTCTCGTACAGCACCCCTTGGGAAAAAACAACAACAATCAAGCAGCCAAAGAAGAGTGCTACAGCCCAGCACATCTCGCTCTCTCTCTCTCTCTCTCTCTTTCTCCGTGTCACCGTGGGAGGTTTACTTCCCCTTGATGGAGAGCGGCCTGGATGCCACCTGCAATGCCCACATCCCCCTCGTTAAACTCCAAAGGCTCCTGGTCGAAGCCCGCTCGAACAATGTCGAAACCGCATCGTGCAAAACTGCGAAGTCGAAACCAACCAGTTTCACAGGATCTCACCTCACATTGGCATCGGTTGGGGGGGGTCAAGATGGTCAAGATTGAGAGAAGTCTCAAACATGCCTACTCTCACGCGCCTCAAGGCCCAAAGAGTCCAGGAAGGCCATACGCCGGTGCTGGGGGATGTCTTTCAAGGTGGCGCAGGTGATGTTCGCGCGCTTCAGCCGGGCAATGCCCTGGAGATCCAGGGGTCTGGAGGGTAATTACAGTATACCGACGGACTGAAACATAGAATGCCAGCCGGTTTTCCAAACGAAAAGGGGTCCTATTTTAGAATGCCGCCAAATAGTGTTCGAAGGGGGTATTTTAGAATGCCTCCCTATATCTCTACCGGAGGCATTCTATGTTTCAGTCCGCAATAGCAAAAATGGAATAAGGAGTCTGTTTCTGTGTACTCTCTCTCCCTCTCTCTCTCTCTCTCTCTCCCTCTGTCTATAATATGTATATATTTAAGTTATATATACAAACACTCTGAACGTCTGAACGTTGTCACACAAATCCACAGAACTCAGCCACTTTTCCCAATTCCCGCATCTCGTATGTCTGAAGTTCACCTATGGCCTTCATATGATGCCTGTCAATTTTCCAAAATGCCGGGGGGAGACTTAGAATGCCGGCTCGGAGGGCTATCTTAGAGTGCCTGCATATTAAGTTGTTTGATGTTTTTTGGTATCTACCAGAGTCATTCTAAGTTTCAGTCCGTAATGCAATACACCAAGCAAATACGGAATGAGGAGCCTGTTTAAATGTGTTACATACATGGCAATATGGCTGTGTATACTGTGCCTTGCAAGGAGTAGCCGTAGAACACCCCATAACAGACACAGTGCCAAAGAGGCATCTGACAGGAAGGGATGCGGAAAAGGCAGAGAGTTCAAAGGCTAAGTCAAAGAAGGAAAAAGAATCAAAAGGAGGAACACAGGAAGGAACTATAGGCAAGAAAGGGACGAATAAAGGCAAGGAGCGGAAATGAAGGATTGGAAGGAAACCGGAATGGCAGAAAAGGATCAGAAAAGGGTATGCACGCTTGGAGTTCCACCACCCGTAGGCATGGCTTGCTTGTAAAGACTGTGTGGGAAAGCTTTGTGCAGGGACTGGCCGCGGAAATTTGCACCGAGAAGTGGACTGCGGACTGCCCACTTAGAATGCACCAGGCTGGCCCAAGGCAAAGCAAGGAAGAGAAAGGGAAGGCAAGGAATTGACCGCGGAAAGGAAATGGGCAGGCAAAGAAAAATCAAAGGCAAACTAAACGAAAAGAACGAAAGGAAACCGGAAAGGAACACCCGCAGGAATGGAATGAAAACAAATGAAAACCATCAGACTTAGAATGCCACCACCCAAAAACCAATACCCCATACCAGACACAGTGGCGGGGAGGCTTCAGACAAGGAAGATAGCAAGGTGAGTCAAGGCAGGAAAGGGGATATATACAATTGCGAAGATCACAGGAAGCAAACATGCAGGAAGGGGGGAAGGAAAGGCAAGGCGTAGAATACACCACAGCATGTATATACGTCGCGTGTCTGACATGTGTCCAAGTTTTGCACGGAAAATGCACTAAAATAGTAAAAATCGAATGCCACATCTTACTGCAAAATGCACGCTTTTGGACGCCTGAAACTTAGAATGCCTCAATTCATGACATATAACAAGCTAAATTTGGTTGCAGTTTTGCTTGGAAATCGACCGGCGTTGGCTCACAAGTGGTTTTGGGAGCTTTTTTGATTGTGCAAATGATGGGTTGGAGTATCCATAGTGTAGATGGTGTAGAGAAAGTGATGTGAGGAATGCATGTGTGCTGGTTGGCCTGACCTTGGTTAGGAGAAGCCAAGACGGTGCGTTTTGACACGAATGATTGCCAAGTAGCTCAATGTTCGGACCGGCAAGAAACGGAAGGAACTGGAAGGGAACACACACCGGATTGGAATGAAAACAGCTAAACTTAGAATGCCGCAACCGCCCAAAACCCTAAATCGCAATATGGCTGCGCTGTGTAGCCTTCGAAGGAGTAGGCGTAGAATCCCCCAAAACAAACAGAGTGCCAAAGAGGCATCTGACAAGGAAGGGATGCCCGGAAAAGCCAGAAACTTCGAAGGCAAGTCAAAGAAGGGAAAAAGAAACACACGTCACATGTAGGAACACAGGAAGGAACTAAGGCAAGAGAGGCAGAAAAGAAAGGCAAGGACAGGAAGGATTGCCAAGGGAATGGGTTAGGAGAACACACCGCACACTTTTAATCCAAACACCCAAAACCATGCATTCCATGTGAAGACTGTGTGTGGGAGCTTTATGCATTGAAAGGGCAAAAACGTGGCAGGTACAGTGTAGACTAGATTGCTCACTTAGAATGCCCCATAACGATGACCATGTGAAGGAGGCCGGCTCGCTATAAGGAAAGGAAGCGGAAAAACAGCAAATAGGAAGAGAAAGCAAATAGAAAGGGAGAAAGGCAAGGAATTGACCGCGGACATTTTGCAGGCAAAGGGAAATTTAAGGCAAGCTAAAAGAACAGAGGGGAAGGAAGCCAGAAAAGAGCACACACCAGCATGAATTGAGAACCATCAAACTTAGAATGCCACCACCCAAAACCATCAATCACAATATGGCCGTGTAGACTGTGCCTTGGAAGAGGCAGCCGTAGAATACTCAGGCACGCGGAACAGGCATAAAATTCAAAGGCAAATCAAAAAAGGGAAAACAAAACACAGGAAGGAACTAGGCAAGAGAGGCAGAAAAGAAAGGCAAGGACAGGAAGGATTGCCAAGGGAATGGGTTAGGAGAACACTTACAGTATAATCCAACCACCCGAAAATATACATTACATGTGAAGACGGTGTGCGGGGGCCTTATTGAGGGAAACGGTGCAGTGTAGACAACAATGTGAAGGAAGCCAGCTCGCCACAAGGAAACATCCCCATTCCTTCACTGTTCAAAGATGGGCCGTAGCCATATTGTGATTTGGGTGGTGGCATTCTAAGTTTGATGGTGTTCAACTCATTCTGGCGCGTGTTTTTTACGGTTTCCTTCCGCTCTTTTCGTTTAGCTTGCCTGCAATTTCCCCTTTGCTTGCCCATCTCCCTTCCGCGTTCAAATGCATTCTTTGTTCCCCAGTATGGAAAAAATAAGGAACACGCACATATACGCCTGTACATATGCCAAAATACATACACCGCAACACCAAACTTCCCCCAACCGACAAGCGAACTTCCTGTCCCCCATGGAACTACGCCCCCCAACTGGGCCAGAAACTCACCCCAAGTGCTATCCCGCATGGAAACGCAATACCAAATTCTGAAAACTTGAAAAATCACACCACCAGGGTTTGCAAAACACAATGTGAACGCAGGTCACCCCAACATCTTAAACCATATCCAAAGACACCCAAAACCATCATGTTTGTCCATGAATCACCATGTGAACGCAACATGTAGGAAACTTTTCTCTTCCTTCAGAAGTCTCAGTCTCACTTCTTGTGAACCTTCTGGAACCGCTTGGCCCTGTTGGCCTGCCAAGCCGAGTTGGACGCAAGATGTGGGATGAGTTGGTGCGAGTTCGGGGTTTGGGAGTAATATAAAACATGTGTATATATATATAACTTGACCGCCAAGACTAAATGCCACATGCCAAATACATTGGGAGAGCAGCCCAGAAAGACTCACCCTTGAGCCCTTTGAGCCACACTTGGCTCGGTCGCGTCCCCGGTCACGTTACCCCTCGGAGGGATATCCCCCGGACACCCATTTTGCCGATTTCCAAAAAGGCATTCTATGTTTCAGTCCGTCGGTATAATGTCAATCAATTGAAGGTGCCAGGTGAGGGTTGTTAGGTTGCTTAGATTTTGTCAGAGCTGTCCTGGTCCTCCCACTCCACCTCCTCCTCCGCGTCCTCCCCAATTGCGGCTAGATCACGGTGGGCACCACCAGACCTCACCCGCACGCCAATAGCAATGGGCACCATCGGACCTCAACTGCGAGCGCTGGATGGGCGCCGCCGGGCCTCAACCGCAAGCACCACCACGGACCTCAACCGCAACCGAGTGCTGGATTGCAGTGGGGGCCACTGGACAGCGACCGCAAGTGCCAATGTGGAGTGGGCACCACCGCCTCAACTGCGAGTGCTAGGTCGCAGTGGGCACGGGGCACCACTGGACCTCAACCGCGAGCATATCAGAACCGAAGTCGGGACATGTGTCACTGCACATGGCCCCCAGATCTCCTGATCCTGCGATCATCACAAACCATGCTGGGCAAATTTTGCCCGTGATTCGTCAGGGCTGTCGCTTATCAGCACGACCTTCAGCGTTTCGCCACTGTGCCAGGACTTCAACGTTGATGTTGTTGCACTCCAGGACCTCTTTGACAGGAAGAAGCAAAGTTTCGAGTTCTGGAACTGTGGTTGACCGTCTCAGCTAACGCAGCAGCCAAAGGTGGCGAAGGACAAAGATGGCTTGCGGATGTTTTTGGCCCTCATCAGTAGGAGGACCGAAGGAGTTCCCCATTTGCTGCCCTGCTTCCAATGCAGTTTCCATTGCCCCTCTTTCACTCCCATGGCGTGTTTACGCGTCTGGTCCGGAACCTGGGCGTTCCAACCCGGTATGCTTGGTCCTGACGGTCCTGATGTACTTTGCAACCAACATGGTTGCAGAACAAACAACTGCTTCAAATGGTCTGCTGGCATGTCAGAACACACATCAGGACCGAGGTTGGACCATATGTCACAGCACATCTCAGTCTTCACGGCAGGACAAGCGATCGAACACATGCCAACAAGGACGTCAGAACACTGTCCAGAACAGATGTCCCGCAGCCTTTATGATAGGTGATGTGTCAAAGCACATACCAGACTTGACGCCAGAACAAGCGAACATTGTATCAATCCACATCTCAGACCGCTTGCCAGGATAGTCTTTTAGCAGCCGATGACAGGTGGATGAACTCAGCTGGAGAGGAAGTTCCCGATGTGTCTCAAAAGACAATTGTTTCAGACAAAAATGTGTGCAGGTCAGGTACTTGAAATGGCATGGTGCATAGTGTTGAACTGGTTGATCCCACAAATGGCATGTGATCAATGCTGGCTTGTTTCATGCTTGCATCCACCATGGCATCAAAACAAAGCCTTAAAATGCCATGGTAGGGGACCAGGGGATCACTCGAATTAAAGTCTTTTTGACTACTTCGAACCATGCACATCTCGGACAAAGCACTACACTGTACCACAGTTTGCCAACCCTCTCCTTCATGCTGGCATGGGCAGCATGGTAAGTATGTGCGAACTGCACTACCAGGAGGTTGGCCAGGAAGATCGCAGACAAGAAAACAAAAATGGAAAGAGCCACTGAAACGATGATCGATGACTCCTTCAACTCCAAGTAGTGCTCTGGCGCATACATCCTGCAAATGCCAAATCTGGTAACCCCAGACCACCCTCCTACCACTATTGGACGACTGTCGACTAGACTAAATTGTCCGAATAATTCTGTGTGTGTGTGACTTGCACCTGCTCCTGCTCCTCCTGCTCCTGCTGCTGCTCCTCCTGCTCCTCCTGCTCCTGCTCCTGCTCCTCCTTATCCTGATCCTCCTCCTCCCCCTCCTCCTCCTCCTCCTGCTGCTGCTGCTGCTGCTCACGCGCATGGTCTTGTTTTGGTGAAATCACCCAGCTGACATGCGGGTCCTCAAGGCCATCAGCGTCAACTCTCTGAGCCAGGCCCCTGCGCCTCCATGTTCGGGAACATGGTAATGCCTGGCACGAGACAGCTGCTAGGCTACTCCACCAAAAAAAACACGTTGTGCCACAGCACTCGGATTTGTCATGATAGCCTAAGTACATGTATGGCCACACGATTTCTGGCACCTGATCAACTGGCAGTGCGAGGAATGAGAACTTTGGTGAATGTGTTTTCCAAGGTGCAAGGTGCCAATGGCTGCAGTAAAGGCCAAGAGAATGGTGAGCAGGGCCAAAAGGAATAGAGCCGTATCTGCAACCAAACGGCTGCACACGAGAACCTGAGCAAAGTGGAAGGAATTGGCCGTCTGACCATCTGACTGTCTGACCACAGTTGACGGAAATCTTGCAGCACCTGAACCCTTCGCCCCCCCGCTGTGAATAGTGAGGCCCCCTGGCCCTTTTCACCCAAGCTAAGCCTGTTCAAAGGAAGGTGCTTAATAATACCCTAGCTGAGCCAGTAGCTCCTTACAATAGCTCTCGTCCTATCCACTGGCGACATTCGTACACACCACCCATGCGCCAGGCAGCATATGCCATGATCTTCTCGGAAAAAATTGCCAAGTCCAACAGTTGTATCCAAAAAATGATCATGGCCAAGAAGGCACCTTGCAAACCAATGCAAAATCCAAGGACTTGAACTCAGATGAAAGAGTGAAAGAGATGCTAAAACTGAACTGTACTGAAGTGGCGCGGAGCTCGTGTGGTCCGGTTGCACTACATCTGAGATCGTAAAGCGCAGGCTGGATGCATTTCTGGTCGCTCTCAGGCAAAACGACAAACACAAAAATGGCTGCCCTCTCTCCCCCTCCAGTGGCAAGGCACAGCCAGAGTACAGGTCTTGGTGCTGCCGCCCCTGCTGGCAATCCATAGTGATGCCCTGCTTGTCGCTCAGGCAATAAAGGAAAGGCTCCTGGGAGAACATGATGATGAGGAGCCACATCAGGGCAAGTCGAAGGCACTCATGGAAACTGAGCAAATATCTGGGAACCTCAGCCGTGCGCACAGCCATCACAACCTTCGTCGCAATAAATGTCCCTCCCTCTTTTTTCTCTCTCTCTCTCTCTCTCTCCCCCTCCGTCTCTCCGTCTCTCGGTCTCTCTGTCTGTCTCTCTGTCTGTCTGCCTGCCTAGCCTCCTACCTGGCTGTGTCTGGCTGTCCGTCTCTGTCGGTCTGTCTCTGCGTCTCTGTCTGTCTCTGTCTGTCTGCTCACCTTGCCTAACCTGTGGGATTGTTCCGAGGGTCCGTCAAACAGCCAAAGGATTCAAAGGACCCTGCTCGGACATCCGCCACCAGCTGTCGAACCTCATGGATCGTCAAAGGGCCGAGGCTGGCCACATAGTTCCTGGGAGTGCACGGCAGCACAGCGCAGCGTCGTGTCAAAATCGTAGGACCCCCCAATGAGTGGGTTCTTGCCGCTTTGCTTGCTTGATTTCCGTACCAATATCTGTTCAACATAGAATCCGGTCTTCAGTGGAGTCATTTGGAACATCCCCTGCCCCTGGGGCCGACTCTCCATGTTTGAGCCCAAGCTGCATGAGGCGACAGCAGAACATGGTCACGTTCTCCACCTGAGTCTGTTCGGAGCTGTGCCGAAAGAGGGCGGCCTGACCGACCACGAAAAGACCTCAGTGACGGCCATCGTTTCCAGCTTTCTACATCAAAAAAAACTGGGCAAATCGACAAGAAAATACATGACAAGCCGTATCAAGCAACATGGCGAAACGTGACAGTGATATATACTTGATCCAAAGAAACCACAGAACTGAATTAACCCCTCATAGGAATTTGCTGACTGCTTCAAAACGAGTTGAGCTGATCAACTTGTCCATTTTTCCCCAGCAATCGGCATGCCTTGCTCTTTTTTCCGCCAAAGCGCAGAGAGTCAAAAGGAAATAGATCTTGGAGGCCATAAATTGATAGCTGGCGAGGCGTTGCCACAGCACGTCCTTGGTAGGTGGTCTCAGGCTGAGACGGGGTGATCCAGAAGGAAAAGTGTGGGATGTTAGCTTAGCTGCTTAGCTCGCTGTTTGCTTATCTGCACCAGTGTGTAGCACCCACTTTAAAAACATATTTATATACTATACTATATTATATTATATGAAAAAATGTAAGTATATTACATTATATTGTACTATTTTATATTATATTATATATACCAAAAAATCCAAACACCTTTGGTAGCGGGCGACTTTTGTCAAGCCACCTGACACAGACTGCTCAACCCTGGTGCCATAAAGATCTTCAAAGACCTATATACCCCCAAACAGCACGGGAATCCTCCGACCCCTTTGCAGCAAACATGCCACCGATTACTAGGCAAGTCTCGGCAAAAAGGACCACGGTCGGATGCCGGATGATCACCGGGTCACCGTGCTGCACCAAACATGCCTCGTACGTCGTACGCAGCAGAACGGGCCAGGAATTATCCGCTGATCGGCGGCCGACGGTTGGATAGTGAGGGAAATGGTTTAGATATGGTCTATGATTAGATATTGTTATAAAGATGTTTGGTTCTATCCACAGCGTCCGCACCTCCCTGTTGTGGACAAACACCAACGAAGGAGATTAACAAACCGCCCATTACATCCATTACATCCATTACTCTACCCCTACCTATCACAAAGAAACAAAAGGTAGACCTCGCTGCAAGATGCCAGATTTGGGCTGATGTCACCGTTCGAGTCTTTCAGCAAGTGCTTCACATAGT